TCCTCGTCATTAAGTATTCTTAATCTTTTTTGCTGATTTCTATTTTGTTAATTTAATTTCTGTAGTAATTCAATGATTTAACTATTTCATTTGTTTATCTTACTTAGAAAAATTGCTTCAAATATGTTAAATTTTTCAAACTACGCGAAACATAAAATAGGTATTAAAAAAATAAACTTTTTTATTTATAAAATAATTTAGCTTAAATAAAACTAAAACTTGCAAACTTTGTTAATAAAGAATACTTGTTTTCTTTTTAAACAATCGTAAGTTGTTACTTTATATAAAAAACATCGCTTAATTTTAAAAAAAAATTATAAAAGAGCGATATTTCGAAAATATTTGTTCTAAAGGTAATTTATTTAGCTTCAATTTTTTTTTTTGTAATTGTCTCTCATCGGTCCAATTAATATTGATCGCTTTTTTTTTTTTGATTTTAAAAATGACTAAAAAATCTGGCCAGCTTTTCGCAACTAAATATTATTTACGTGGTCAGCAATCAAGAGCGATCGCTCCCGCTTCCCGACCAAGCCTGATATATGTATATATATACACACACACAAACACATACACATATGTATAAATGTTATAATTATAATGTTGTATTTACAGTATTAATTAGATTATTAACTTACTCAGAGGAATGTTGATCTTTTTGATTTTTTACCACACTTTTTTTTTATTTTAACAAACAAATCTGTAGAAACAGTCTGAAGAATATAATTCGTTAGACTATTTTCAACAGACTTTTTACTTTATTATTAATGCTGAATTATTGTATTGCAAACTAGTTTTCGTTTAAAAGCGAATAATATACTTTCACAAAAATAAATAACATTAAGTCTCCATTAACTTAGAAAAACATAAAATGCTATAAAATTTTTCCAAGATTTCCGTAAAAACGGGGGTAAGTTAAGATGTTAATAATAACAATACAAGATTATGATTTACAAACACTGATAAATTTGTACTTTAAATAAAGAATTATTAATTTTTATATTTATATAATTTATTATGAAGTCAACAAAATTATAGTTTTTAACATTTAAGGAAAAACACATTGTTGTTATACGCCATTTAAATAATTTCCGCAGGTTAAAAACCAAGTAATGTTTATGTTTGTTGTATGTTTAATTTGTATTTATTGTATGTTTAAAATTAAAGTTTATTGTATGTTTAATGTATACCGTTTATTTAATTATATAGCATATTTGGCCCCCTGATATTTTTAACATTTTTTTTTGTTTGCTCGAAAAAGTATATTCCGTGAAGTTGTTCGGCAAACTCAGAGTTTTAGAAAAGGTTTATTGGGTGTGGATAACTTTATGAGTTTATTCCCAGGCTCCAGGCACTAAAATGTTTTGCAAAATATTTAAAATAAGCAAGAACATAATTATATTTGGAGTTTTCACAATGCCTGAAAGTGCATACCTGAAATATCAAAAAATCTTTCAGAATTCTCTGAATAAAATCACAGTATATAAGAGAGGTTAACAAACCTACTCAACTAAATAATTTGTTTATGGGAATCTAAACACAGTTAATTTTTATTAGTTTGTTATTCAACTTTAAGCATGCCTAGTGAAAAAGTTTAATTTTGCAACTCTTTTCTGCATAAGGAAATTTTCATTTTCATTGTCTTTACAATAAAAATTTTAATTGTGACCATCAATAAAGTCAAAATCCATATTTCTCATATCTTTTATAGAAAATTTATCAACTAATTCTAGAAAGATATTTGCTGGTACTTTGTAAGGCAGGCTGTCCATATAGAGTTGTCTGGATAAATTCTTTTTAAGTAATAATTTTTAGATGTATTTACAAAAATTATAAAACTTTTTTTTTACATGTATGTAACTGAGTTTGAATTTAAAAGTAATATGGGTGTGTTTGTTTAAGGTTTTTTCAGTGTTCATTTATTTTTATACAAAATTTCTTGTTTTTACCAATAGCTTCTAATATAAATACACTCCACAGTATTCATAAAATATTAAAGCATCTGGAGCAAGCTTTTTATTATTTATTCCCAATTTAGTTTTGGCATAAACTAACTTTGCAACTTTTAGGGTTACAAATTTTTTTAATTAATAAAAAGACAGGTATGGCTTCAAGTGTGTGTAATACGCTATGCATGTTTGATGATGTGATTCTCCCTGCTTAAAAATAAAACTTTTTTTTGCAAAAACTTACTCTCTTGTAGCTTTTTCGACATTTGACTGCTCAACCTCTGATACAAGCAAACTTAAAGTTTCACATTGTTTACATAAATTTAAGTAACTAAGAGATAAAGTTAAGGAATCATAAAGTTCCTGTAAAATTTGACGAGTAACGAGTGACGAGGGTTGGTAATCTACACTGTAGGGGGATATCATTGTGAAAATAGCTGACTTTGACTTGCAGAGGCTCAGTTTATTAAAAAATGCAAAATTAGTTCCGACTTGGAGGGGTGTAAAATCTATATCAAGGCATTATGAATATAGAATGTCTTTGCATAAAGATGGAAGCATCCGGCTTTTTCTTCTGTAACTGTCTTAGAATCATAAATTCTGACTGCAGTATCAATATAAAATAAAATTACTCTAATGTAACAATCTCTCCATGACCAGCAATGTAAGAATATGCCTCTCCATTACCAGCACTTAAAATGAGTATATATTACTGTACCATCCATTTCAGAAATGATCCATGTTGAAGTCGATGTTTCATTATGCTTTTGAGAATGATAAATCTGCCATATGAGAAAAAAGAATTATTTTATTCACTAATAATTTAAAGTTTTTAAATATTTTTGATAAAACACAGATATTATACTTTATTACCTTTCTAATAACCAAACATTTTTCATCAAATAACTTTAAACCGATTTCCTTTACCCAGCCAGAGAGAAAAAAACTTTATTTCACCAAACTTTTATAACATTTTAGTTCTTTAGCGAATATAGGGGAGCAAACATTAAAATAATTTACTATATCAGCGCCACTTATTTTAGGATAAAAATCTACTGAAAAAATCTAAACTATAAGGATCTGAATTATTTATTTGAGAAATTTTATAAAGGTATCTTCGTTTGCTTTTAACAGAAAGACAAGTAAAATACTTACTTTTGACTAAAGACATGACTTTGTTTTGTTTATTTGTTTGTGAACCAACATGAGAAAAACTCGGAACAGTGAATTGAAACACGCGAGCACCTGGTGCTTTCAAAAGAAAGTTACTTAATTTGCCAAAACAAGACAATCCAACTTTATTATTTCGGCACATGCATTTTTTATTATATAAAATGTTTTATGAATACATTTTCGTTATGGTCCCAAGTATATGCATCCTAACTTGCCTATTAATTATAGAGAATTACATTATTAATTATGGAGAATTATATTATTAATTATGGAGAATATATTTGTTAAATAACTAGTGACCCTTTCATTTTTTTTTTTTTTTTTTTTTTTTTTGTATGTATTTAGGTGCTCCCAGAAGTCCTTACAGTCTTATCATAGAGCATCGCGGGAGGGCATTTAACAGGAAGTTCACACCTCCTTCCGTACCAATGTCACTTGTTGGGCTAGAGCTGGCGTCGAACCTCGGACCTCTGGGTTCCGAGCCAGAACTCTAACCACTGCGCCACGGCTGCTCCATATTTTAAGACCTTAGTGTTATTTAAAGAGTTGTTCAGCATAAAAAATGTTTTACAATGATATATAATAAGTCTATATTTGAAAACAAATATTTTTAACTATTTGCGCATTTGTCATTTTAGAACAGTGCCTAAAAAAGGGGATTTTCCTGTTGCGAATCATAGGGTATTGTTTTCATGTGATACATATACTTTTGGGGATCACTAGGCAAATTTTCAGATTTATAAATTTTTTTTTTCCACAAACAGTAGTTTTTTGAGTTTTGCTCCTGGACTTTCCTGTTTTTCAATATTTAATAACTCGTATTGTTTTAAGTTTGTCAAAAACGACTCTTTAAATAGTTAAAAAAATGAGGTTATAAAAAAATATAAATTTATGATCATACAAAACGTCAGGTAATCACTTTCTTTATTTATAAATTGTTTAATTTAATCGAAAATCAAAAAAATCTACTGTAAGATCCTAATACTCAAATTTTAAAGTATTTGTAAATTTCAGGTTAAAGTAATTACTTTAAAGTAATAACTTGAAAGTAATAACAAGTTTTCAATTTTATAATTATAATGATTTTTTTATTTTTATAAAAACAAAAAATCATTTAAATATATATGGAATTAATTTTTTTCATTTATAAACATAAATTTTTAAACTAATCGTCTAGTTGCACAACTTAAAATTGATTGCACAACAAAATTTCAATCCAACTCTTCACTTTTCCAATAATTTCATGCACACACATATCTTAATAAATGCATCGTTCCTTATATATATATATATATATATATATATATATATATATATATATATATATATATATATATATATATATATATATATATATATATATATATATATATATATTATATATATATATATATATATATATATATATATATATATATATATATATATATATATATATATATATATATACTTAATTCCTTAATATTAAATACTATTTAGAGCTTTTACACTCCACGTGAATTTTTTTTTCCTAATCACAAATATCATATAACACATAACACAAACAGTAAACAACTGTTTCTTGCGAGGTTTTAATTTATATGCGAATTTACTTTTTTTTCATGCGGCTCTGTGCAATCTACCATGATGTACTATTAAATAAGCGCGCACAAAATTATCGGAACTGTGAAGATGTGTTTTGTTGCAGAAATGAAAAACAAATCAATTTCAAATTTGTACAAGTTTTGTACAATGTTTTTATTACTATTGGAAACCGAAACTGAATTTCTTTCGTCTTATTAATTTTTCATTTTATGATTATGATGTGGTGCCTAACACATGGATACTATACAATTGTATTTCTAAATTGTGTTTCATTTTTTATAATTTTTGTTTTGTTAGAAACGCCCATATGCTGGTCAATGGAGTGAAGTAAATTTGGGCAGCGGTGACCGCAAAGACAAGTTTCTTCGATTACTTGGTGGGTATAAATCATCAAACATAGAAAAACAAGAGAAAAAAAAATTTTCAAATTTTGCTTTCAGTAAGAAGAAAGAGGAACGTCTGAACGATAACTTAGAAAAACAATACGAAACTGCATGGAGCATTACTCGTGAAAAAAGAGGTTTGGGACTGGGGTTTGACAACTCCGCTACCAACGAAGAAAAAAAGCCATCTTTTTCATGGTCGTAAATATAATAAAATTCTATGGAAAACGTTTTAATGAGGTATGGTGCAGAAATTGGACATTTTTTTTAGTTTTTAAATAGTTGTAAAACCTTAACTAGTAAATAATAAATTTCTAATTTTGATTTAAAAAGTCTTTAATTAAAAATAATCTATTAAATAATAAATTATTATCATTTGATTTAAAAAGTCTTCAATTAAAAATAATCTATTATTAAAAAAAGGTTTAAAACAAAATTACTAATTTGAAATACTCATGCATTTTTTATATATTTGCGTTTTTTTATGGAAAACTGTTTCGTATTATTTCAATTCAGATGTTACTATTCAGGTTGAAGCTATTAAACTATTCAAAACTTTGTTACTTTTGTTTAAATACAATTTTATGAAATTGTTGCAATCTAGAGAATGAGCGAAAATCCACTCAAAAAAAGTGTTTCTTTCGAAAGTTTTGATGACGATAGTATGCAACCGTACGCTTCCAGCAGTTCTAAGAAAACCTCTCTCAACAGTACCAAGAATTATTCTGTTAATGAACAATATCTCGATTATCAGTTTATTCTTTCAGTCATTGATCATCCAAAGAAGAACAGCGAAAAGTCTCCTAATGATCCAATAAAACCAACTATATCAAAGAAAACTGCTAAAACACTCAAATAATAATCAAAATTTTTTTATAAATGTTGACGCCATGTTTCAATTTGGTGACATTAAAAGGTGTTGAGGTTAATGCGACTGCTTTTGTGACGCGAGTTTATATTAGCAATATTTTCGTGACAGTTGCTTGTAATTTTTAAAAGATTTATTAATTAAATTTAAAGGAAAATTTTCTCACAATTTTGTGGTTAGTAATTAATCGCGAAGTTTTTAAATGTTATTAGTAAAGTTTTATTTAGGTTAAAATAAAATTTTAATGAGTCTTAAATGATAATAATCTGAGAACCTAATAGCATAAAATTTGCTTTCCATAAGTTGTTTGAACAATAGCTTAATAGAATTTTATTCTATTTTAACGAGTTTTACTGTTACATAGTTGTTAAACGAGTTTTACTGTTACATAAATTGTTAAAAGTAATTTAGAAAACTTTTAAAGAGGACAAGTTTGCAATTTTTCAATGCTAAAAGTTAAACATTTTGCGGAATTAAAATATCAAATCTAACTTTTCAAATCTAATTTCTGAACAGTCTGCAATGTCAGTTATAATGATAAATAGTCTTATGAATATAATATTTTCAAAATTAAGTATCCAATAAACAATTATATATATTAATAAATGATATAGCGTGCTTAATATCAGGAAGCAAATTCATTTGTTGTTGTTATTTTATTTGTTAAAAATGAAAACTTGCTGAAATCAATTTTTGATGTTAATTGAAATTGGTTTTTCTAAAATCAGAAATCTAGTTTTTATTCTGTAAAATCAGATATCTAGTTTTTATTCTGTAAAATCAAATATCTAGTTTTTATTCTGTAAAATTAGATATAGTTTTTATTCTGCGAATTGGATGGTAAATTTTTTTATAAAAAATATTTTTTTTGTTTTTTGTTCTTAAAAAATGTTTAAAAACTCAACGCAGAACAGCTTATCAGTATAACATTTTAGTTCATGATCTTTCTAGATTAATTACTATTTAAAATTTATTAAATTTATTAAATTTTTTTTTAAACAAAAAACAAAACTTTGAGTTGCTATTATAAACTTTATTGAGATTTCGTTACTGAAAAATTAATTAACAAAAATAGTCAAAACTATACATACAAAACAATAGCATAACATTTAAAAAAACACTCAATAGAGGTACATATCAAATGTCACAAACAAATATTTAGCTGTATCCCAGTGTTTTCTACCCGAAAGTTAGACAAACGTGACTAACTCGTGCAGTTTTGCTTTCCTTGTTTCTGGCTTCAATAGGACTCTCAGACAAAGAACCTATTAAAGGATACTTAAAGTACCTAATAAAAGAAGCAACATGAATTATTATTTTATATACAGATTGTGACATAGGTATGCTTTTTTTAAATGTATTATTAGTAATAATTGCAAATAGATATTCAGATTTCTGATTGAAAAACTACATCCGGTCTTGGAGTCGTATCATATCAATATCAATCATATCAATGTCATATCAATGAGTCTCGAAACAACTTATTTATTCTGATTTAGGTATTCTTCGTGGTACACTATAAACATACAACAAAAATGTCAAAATTCGAAATTTTTTTGTGAAACATAGTAAAAACAATTTGTGTACATATATATATATATATATATATATATATATATATATATATATATATATATATATATATATATATATATATATATATATATATATATATATATATATATATATATATATATATATATATATATATATATATATATATATATATATATATATATATATATATATATATATATAGTCAAACAGTATTCCATTAACCGAGGGTCTTTTGGTCCATTGAATACAATATAAGAAGCTGTAAATAAAAAAATATATTAAAAAAAAACAAAAAGGGAAGATTTAAAAAATAAATAATCAAGGGAAAAGTGTTACAACTTATATCTTTTTCAACGCCATATAGATTAGTGTTCTTAAAACATATTTTTCCACCTTTGCCCTTCATATCCATCGAGGCCATATAACTTTTCGAAAATACTCTGAAATTTTAAAAAATAATATAACTGTTAGTTGGTTATTAATAACTTTTTCAAATATTTAATTTAAATAAAACAACCTTTTTAATATATTAAAAATAAATTAATAATCAAAATATAAAACATTTCTAGCATTGAAAAATAATTTTCTGGGTGGCCACATAAAGTTTTTATAAGAAATTTTATGTGGCCATTTATTAATGGTTTAACGTCCATGTTTATACACTTATGGGGCTTGGACAGGGATCAAATAATGTCATTTGTTATGTTAAATAGCATGCATTTTCTAAAGCAATTTTTTACAATTCCATGCACTTTAAGGCGTTAACCAGTTTTGCAGACCGAGAATGGGTATTTTGAACATTATACATCCATCAAAAATTAAAAAACGAAGAATTAATGAGGAGATTTGATCAAATTTTTACCTCTTTAGAGGATAATAGAGGATTTTAGAAGTGGTTTTAAAAAAAGAGGACTTTAGAGGATTTTAGAGGAGCTGCAGACACCCTGATTATAAATGAGGTAACTCCACCAATTAACTGTAATTGATTTATCTGTAAAAAAAACATGAAGTAAATCTAATATTATGCTTGTGGAGATATATTATATTGTGGAGAACCATCCAAACCACACAAGTGGAAAATTTGCATCCAAGTTTCCACTTGTGTTCAAATCTTGCATCCACTTGTCAACATTCTCATTATCACATTTTTCTTTTGTAGTTGTGAATTTAAAATTTTCACAATACTGTTTGCTTTCTTTTAGAATTGAAATAGTTATACAAATAGTTATATATTTTGTATCAACAAAATAACTCTTCTTACCACATTATTTAAAAAATAATAATTGTAATATATAGATGTAATACCTGAAGAGAATTTAGTTTTTATTTGTATAAACTTAAGCCAATTCTTCTCTGCATTTTAGTGCAGTCAATGCTTTGGTACCTGGAAGCCGACAAACAGTTTTATCACTAATCCAATCAGATGGAATTACTTCTTCTTGTAAATCTTCATTCCAAACAGCTCCTTTCCGCATATTCGATTTTGAAAAAATTACATGAACTAATATAAAATGAAGAAACCATAATGTAAGTGTACTAACAGGCCTAATTAAACTAGCTAAACTTGAACATTTTATAACCATGATACTTGCTAAACAATAGTATTAGTAGACCTTATAAGCAAAGATAAGATTTTCTTTATTTTATAAATTTATTATATTTTGAACTCATTTTTATTAATTTATTTATTACTCTATTATTCAGCAGAGTTCTGAATATATTATGTTCAAATAACTTAAGGCTCAATAACAAAGACAAATAATGAAAGAATACTAGGTTGCTAAAACATAAACATCTACATAAGATAATTATGGAATATTGAAAAAAAATAGAAATACAAAAAAACAAAAATACTCATTATTAATATAAAATATAATAGTATAATATAAGGTATATTATAATATATGACACAATAACATCTACTTTTAATTAAAATATCAAAACAACAAAAATTAAAAAAGAAAATATTTTGATAAATAATAAATTATCATTCAAACAATTTTCAAGACCAAAAAATAACTTGTAACTTATTTTTTTACTTATCTTCATCTAATAAACATTACTTATTTTTTACTCATCTTCATCTAATAAACATTAATATTAATACCAATTTTAAACATTATTAGAATTTTTTTTTTATCAAAAAATAAAAATATTACATCAGTTACTTTTTGGGCTTTTCTTATTTTACTTAAAACATCAACTCAATTCTAGGCTTTTTTTATAATTGAGTTTTAATTTGTAATGTTGAATTAACACTGAAAAAAAAAATATTAGCAGACAAAAAGAAAATATTTCTTTATTAAAATATATGTAAATATTTCAATAAAGAAATTTTAGATTGATTTTTATAAATATAAATTTATATCAATCAATCTAAATTTTTTTCTTTTCCACCACCTTTTCGAAATGAAGCACATTTTTAGAAGTCAGACAAAATGCCATCAATTAAAGTTTCAGTCGCTCCATCGTATTTAATAAAAGAAGCTGTTAATAAAAAAGAATTAGAAAAAAAAAAAAAAAAATTATCAAACAATTTTTTTGCTAAATAATTTGTTCCTTAAAATTCCTGAATAATTAAAAATTATTTTGATTACCTCAGCATTTTAAAGATATTCCATCAATTGCAATTGATTCACCTAAAAAAAAAAAAACAAGTAAAGCTAATATTATTGTTTTAAATTTTAATTATCTTTATACAAATACTCATCATATTTTTAAAGTGACTAAAAATGGATTTAATTAAAATCACTTCATTTGTATTAAAAAATTAATATTAAAGCCTTAATCATACATTATACATCTTTACTTGGAACAAAAACCATGTGGTTTAAAAGTGAGCTAGAAGCTTTCAGCAATGAAGAAAATATTGCCTTCACTAATCCTAAAAATATATTCAACCTGTCAGCAAAATCAGCTGTCAATAATTCAAGTATTAGCATCATTAAAAATTCATCTTTGCTGCATTACATTTATTTTGGTCCAAGTAGTTAAGGATTTTTTTAAATTTCAAAAAACAGAAGTAAATGTTTTTTTAATATCACTTTATCTCTTTTGATTAATGGTGATACTGCACTTACTGATGAAACACATTGACATATGTAAGGCCAGTATAAAAGTCGCAAGATCTATTATTTTTAAAATAAATGTTTGTATACAAGTAAATTGCAATAACACGATTTGTTTGGATTATGTTTATATACAAGTTTGTCTGTTTTTATAGTAATAACTGATGTGGTTGAAGTTAATTTTTCAAATAAATCTTTATTTTTTTATTTCGTGCTGAAGTTCTTTTTTAAAGTTATCAATTTCTTTTTTTAATTCTTGATGCTCTATTAAAAAACAACGCTTAGCATTAAATTCAACATAATTTAATGGATCATTTTTTGAAAAAGCTGTATTATATTTACATTTAATAATATCAGTCTTTGAGCATTGTAGCCCAAGTTAAACGAAAAATATCGATTTTTAAACAATAATGTTCTTTCAGGAAAATCGTCTAAACATGTTTTCGATCTCTTGAAAATTCTATATGATATAAGTTCAGTATTTACATTTTTTTTCCATTACAAATCTCTGACTTTAACCGTTGAAATAATGTTTACGATTTT